CGAGGTGCCCCTGCGGGTGATCATCAGACCCATCCCGCCGGTCCTGGAGGAGAGTAAAGTGGAGAGCCTCATGCGCACCGTCCAGGTAGGGCCGGCTCCCCCCCCCCCCCCGTGCTTTTCAGTGTTTCCCCGGTTCCTACATTTCTCCGCCTCTCGGACTCGACGAAGTCCTGTCGGCAGCAACGTGCGTGTCAGCCCTCCAAGGTAGACCAGACGTGGAAACCAAAGACCCACAAGCTTATACAGAAGGAACAGGGTTTGGCGAGTCCGAATGCGCCTCCCCCTCCCTCCCCTTATCTGCATGAGAATAAGGAGGGTCCTCTGTGAGACGCTTTCTCAAATTACATTTCTGCCCTGGACTCAGGTTTCTTTTATCTGACCGTTGCCTGTGGCTCTTCCTCCCGCTCCTCAAGGTTATTCCTTCTTCCCATTACAGAGTGTCACTGGGGTCCCCAAGGCAGCCTTGGGGGTACACTCCCAGATCCCCAGCCAGCAGGGCCCAAGGCTGCTGCGGAAATCCAAGAGTTTTGTTCCCAACATAGTTAGAGGAGAAAAGGTCTTTGAGTTGAGCTTGACTGCCAGGGACTTCCTGGACAGGGCCATGCTGCTTTCTTAGCAACGTTTCAGAGTAGGGTTGTCTTCTTACAGATCTTGTCTCGCCCTCCAGTCGAGTCTACAGTTCTGAGATTTCCTGGTGGCCTCCCATCCCAGGACTAGCCAGCTCTGACCTCTGGCGGTTCAAGATCAGCTAAGGCTGGTGAGATGCTGCCCCCTGCTGGCATCAAAGTAAGATAGGCTTCCAAGTTGAGCTTGAATCCCAAAACGATCCGTGCGAGTACCCCATTGGAACCTAGGTTACTAACGTTGTCAGGGACAGTGGCTGGGTTCACACAACCCATTTAAGCATAATAATTATTATGTTCATACAGCATGTCGTGTCAGGGTAATAGCCTGCTTCCTACAACAGAGGGGGCCAGGATCCTTCCAATGTGTTGAACCACAGAGTAATCTAGACTATATCAAGCATTTGTAGAAAGCCTCTGACCATATACAAAGTGCCACCTTATTATTGAGCGACCCTAACTTTTTCTGGGTGTGCTTTTGAGTCACACTTGATTCCTGCCAACTGCGGTTTTCTTGGCAAGTTTTTGTCATGGGCTGAGAGAGTAACCTTGTAGGACAGGAGGAACAGCCGCAGCCGAAACGGCAGTCAGATAAAAGAAATTTGAGTCCAAAGCAAAAATGGAATTTGAGAAAACGTCTCAGGCTGGACCCTCCCTCATTCTTCTGAATGTAAAGGCAGGAAGGGGAGAGGCCCATTCAGACTTGGAAGATTCTGTTATATAACCTTATAATAAAAGTAGTATCAGCTTGTGTGTCTTTGGTTTCCTAGTCTGGTCTACCTCGCAGGGCTGGCATTTTTTCCGAAGTGGTCTGCTGTTGACTCCTTCCCAGGGCTGAGGGAGAAGGACTGGCCCAGAGTCCCCCAGATGGCTTTGTGGCCAAGGTAGGACTAGAACTCGCCATCTCCCGGATTCTAGAAATCCCCCTATTGCAGTTCTGCATCATGTGGTTACATTCTAAAGCAGCCTTTGTGAATGGAGAGTCCCGCCTCCTTCCTCCCGGAAGTGCCTGGCCCTCAATGGGCAGAGAGAACTGGCAAGGCTTCATTCTGTCACAAGCTCCTTCCCCATTGGCTGCAGCACCCTGTCCTGTTGGCCTCCCTGGCCAATCAGCGGGGGGGGCGGGGCTTATGAAAGACCTTGCTCTTTCAGCAACTTTCTATCCCCAGTATTTTTTTTTTCTTGCAAGAGCCACTTTTCCTAAAAGCTGCCCCACTGGGTTTGCACAGTGCCACAGTGCCAGTGTGACTTGTTACTTTTCTTAATTAATGGATTAATTAAATTTAGAGGCCGCCTGGCTCCAAACCACTCTTGGCGATGTGCCCTTTGAAAAGCCAAGAACCGTAAAATAGAGAAAAAAATCATTTACAGGTGGGAAAAACCCCCCGACACAATACACCCAGGAAAAACCATCTTGCCTGCAACCACAGCTGGGTTTGTAAGGACTTTTTGGACATTATTAAGGGGGGAGATCCTATGGATCTCCTGGTGCCACCCCGACTGACGGCATTGATGAATCGAAGGGGCGTGGAGTGCCCCCACGCTGCCCGATGTTACTAGACGGGTATCCTGTGCCTGACCTAATTTTTTAAATTAATGCTAGGAAGAGAGGCTGCTTCAGCAAGGTAGCTCTTCCTACTTGATTCCTAAAGCGGGACCTTGTTTCTTTGCTTGGGGTGCGCTGGGGGATAACAAACTCCCTGTCCCATTAGATAATTATTTCCTGTTTTTGCCTTAACTCGCTCCCCGATACCTGCTAGGCCAGTGTTTCTCAACCTTGTCAACTTTAAGATGGATGGACTTCAACTCCCAGAATTCCCCAGCCAGCTGTGCTG